AGGCTGCAGGAAGGACCAAGCCTCAGAGGGTATAGTATTCTTTGGGAGCGGGGAGTGGTCCTTGGGAGGGGCTATCTTTGAACATATTACCTTGTGAACCAGTAACTAAAAATGGCAGTTAGAGATAATTGTGTGGGGTCTGGACTTGGTCCTCTGGCTCTTTGTATCTTATTCTATTATTCTCTCCATTTAGCTCCTTTGATTTTTCTGTTACCTTTGTTTTTGACAGCCAATTTCTTGGCCCCATAATAACATTTGGACCAGCAGAGGGAGAAATATTTTGGTAACTTTTCAGGCTAATTTTTGTTGTTGTTGTTAATTCTCACCTGACGATATTCTTCCCATTGATTTTTAAAGAGAGGGAAGGAAGGGAAGGAGGGAGGGAGGGAGGGAGGGAGGGAGGGAGGGTAGAAGGGAAAGGGAGGGGGAGAGAGAGAGAGAGAGAGAGAGAGAGAGAGAGAGACATTGATGTGAGAAAGACACATTGACTGGTTGACTCCTGAATGAGAGAGAGAGAGAGAGAGAGAGAGAGAGAGAGAGAGAGACATTGATGTGAGAAAGACACATTGACTGGTTGACTCCTGAATGTGCCCCAACCTGGGCCAGGGATCAAACCTGCAACCCAGGTACATGCCCTTGACCGGGAATCAAACCCACAACCCTTCAGTGTGTGGGCCAACACTCTAACCACTGAGCATCACTGGCCAGGGCTTCCGGGCTAATTTTATGGGAGTAAGTTGCCTTCTTGATCCCTGAAATGAGGTAGATGGTTTGGGGCATGAAAAAGAAAAGACAAATGTATAGATCTGTCATGTGAACTTCTCATCCCAGAAGTCCCTATAAAGAATAGGTTTCAGGTAGGCTGGAAAAGAGGATAGATGTGTCTGGCCCAGTTAAGTGAGAATGCTGTCAAGAACAAGGCAGAGGTTATCAACATGGTAGTTGACAAATGGTGTTGGTAAAGTAGAAACTACCCTCTGAGATGATTCAAGGACTGGGCAGGGCAGGATTGGCAGGACTGCACCAGAAAATTATTTAGTGGAGGAAGTAAAAAAGTTTGGTGTGCTCTGGGACAGAGCCAGTTAGTTTCAGCTTTTCTGAAGAAAAACAGACGTATTTAACAACCCTGTTATTCTCTGAAAACCCATTCTAGAGTCTGTTTGAGCATGAAAGGTAGGAGAAGTTACTGTATAGAAGAGCAGTCCTGAATTCCAGGGTGGAGATTATTAGCCATCTGAGCTTTCTTAATTTCTGTGGTGACCCTGAAATAATACTGGGAGCCTTGAAACTATGGCCCCTTCTTTTTTGTTGTTTTTTTTTTTTTTTGCCTGACTGTCCCTCCCGTCTAACTCCCCCCCCCCCCCCCCACTTTCTATGGCCCCTTCTTGGTGGGATCAAAAGAAACTGACCTCCTCTTTATTTTATTCATCTCTCCTATGAATGTTAATTAAGTTCCCAAGCCAAACCCAGGGTGTTGTCTAAGATGGATTTGGAAGTTTGGAAGTAGAGGGGCAAATCCCACAAACTCAGGTGTCAGTCTTGTCTCTTCCTTCCCACTCTGTCTTCGTGGGTTATAGTAGGAGAGGGGACTATGAATCCCATCCCTATTCTTGATCAGATATTTGGGACAATGACTGGCTTGATTTATTTGTTTCAGAGATTTTTCAAGTTTTATTTACTCCTTTGATTGGCAATAGATTTCTCTTCAATTTCTTTGAACTTATATGTGTAGATGTCTAACTTTGAACATAAGGCTTAAAAGACAAACTTTTGAGAGCAGGGGAAAAAACGTCTTTTTTTTGTTTGTTTGTTTCCTGCTCACTAGGTCCTCTTTCTTAGTTGGGTGCTCAGCACATAGTAGGCATGCTCTACATATAACCACCTGACTCTTCACATGCCTTTCAATTTGTGTCCATCTTCACTTCAGAAACAACCTCTTTCTTCTTGATGAAAAAAATAGCTGTTTTTTTTTTTTCCCTAATTGAACACAGTTGACCCTCAAAATCAAGAGACCTGAATTCTAGTCCAGCTTAGCTCCTAACTGTGTAACCTAGAGCAAATGAGATCCCTTTTGAATCTCAGTGTCTTCATCTCTAAAATGAGAAGGTTAAGCTGGAAAACATTTTAGTTCCTTTCAGCTTTAAAAATTCAGTGAGTCTCATACTTTCTTTCTTGGGAAAGGTAAAAAGGCCTAAAGGGAGATAAAAGGGAAGGAATGCCGGATGAAACACTTAGGAGAAATTAGAATTTATGAGAATTTGGGATTTAAGCAGAGTGCTCAAAACTTAGTCTCTAGTTTCAATGAAAGTTCTTTCCTTTTAAACCTATAAGGAACTAGATATCTGGATTCTTCAAATCCTATATCCAGGGTAAGGAACACTGAATCAAATCTAGGGATATCTAGAGGGATTGCCTATTCATTTAGCATTTCTGAGAGCCATGTGCAAAGCATAGTCTATCTCTTTCAGTTGCTTTGAGTCCCCTAATATCACTAACCCTACCTTTGTAGTGGTCCCTTGTATCTGCCATGTAGATCTTCAGGAGAATCCTCACTTTGCTTCCTCAGTATAGTTATGAAAGTAGTGAAAGCTGTTTGTGGCTTTGTGTAGTAGTCACATGATGGCGGCTCTGAATGGCTGTGTGTGCATCTTGATGTTGTCATGTGACATTGTGTGTACTTCTGTGTGGTAATAGCAGCTTTGCGTGGCTACTAATGCACTCCCGGCCTTGCAGGCTCACAGTGCACAGGGCTGTTCAGCACCACAGTGCTGGGTGGCTCCTCCAGCGCCCCGAATCTTCAGGACTACGCCCGCAGCCATGGCAAAAAGCTACCACCTGCCAGTCTGAAGCATCGAGATGGTATGTGGGTGGGTTTGGGGGAGCAACTCTTTTCTTTGTTTGTCCTCCAGCAAGGACACAGTTCAAGAACTATTCATGCTTAAGATGGCACTGATACTGGCCTCATAACAAGTTTTCTTCATCAGTTATAGAGGGAAGAAGGAACCAAGACCCCATCCACCTCCATTTGCACTCCCTCTCACCATACAAGTATTACTTATTTATGCTTATCCCTTCATAATCTCTCACATACAGCCCTGCTACATCAATTTACTCCACCTTTGTATTCTTTCCTGGCTTCTGGTCTATTGGGGTAAGGACCAAGAAGGATGATCCATGGTCAGGGAGAATGCAGTGGAGCCTTGATTAAAATCTGGGAAATCAGGAATGAGGAAGTTGCTTAGCCAAGGCAGGAAAGATGATATGGAACGAGATTGGGGGAAGGGATGAAAGTTTCTACAAAGATTTTCTAAATGATGAGAAAGACGATGTGGTGGTGAAATTAGGTTTGTTTGTGGGGATGTACTGTGGTGGAGATGACATGTGGAGTCCTAAGAAGAGATTATACCAAAGGAAAAATTGAAATATGGTAGTCAGTAATCTAAGGGTGGGGGAGGGAGCATGTCATATACTAACTGTAAAGAACAGAGTATGTTGCTGGCAAATTCCAGAACAGAGGGTGGGGACAGGTGTGGGTATAATCCCCATGATGTCTTTTCTCCCCAGAGTTCTTGTTTGTCCCGGCCGTAAAACGATTTTCTGTGTCGTTTGCAAAGCATCCGACTAACGGTACGTTTGCTTCTGACTCAGCGTCATTCATCCTCACCATGTCACCTCCAGACACAACCTCTGAGTTCTGACACTGACTTTGCCTCTCCTTCCACTGTGTTGACACCCTGCTGTCTCTGAGTGAAACATTCACTAAATGTCCCTCTTGGGATATATCCTTTGTGTGACAAACCTTAGCCTTGGCTGCAGCCTGGCTGCCCTATGCCTGCGGCAACTCAGGGTCTTACTTCCATGGTCACCATCATCACCATTATGTCACTTTTTTCAGCATCATCACCAAAACATTAATTAAACCTCTCTCTTTCCCATCACATGACTGCTGGGCTTTGTACAAACATGATAATGGTCCTCATCTTAGAAAGAGAATAGTATTTCCTATATTATCCTTACCCTCTCCCTCGCCCCCAACTCAGCTTATGTAATTTTGATCTTCCTGTTTTTTTCTCCAACTCTTTTGTTCTAAAGGATCACTAGTTTGTTTCCCTCAGGAGTAATGCTGCATTTCCCAGCTCCCAAGCCTACCCATAAGGACATTGGTCTTGAGTATATAGTTTCCCATCTCCATATTCCTATATCCTACCATTATGTGTACTTGGTGTGGTTCTTGTGCTCCTGACATATGCTTTATGTTACTACTAACCTAGGGATTGGACTTAGAAAACAGTAGCCCAGATTGATCTGGGATAAAAGAGAGAAAGAAAGGAGTAGGAGGTAGTAGGTAAAGGAAAAATAACTGTACCTCGAGTTTTTTCATGTGGTTTCCATGTAGCCCCAGTCTCCCTATGGCACTGCAGTCTCAAAGAAGCTTGAAGTGAAGAGTTAAGATGTCTACTGGGATTCTAGGGGAGCCTAGGAATGAATAATATTTCAAGAATAATGAAGAACTGGGATTGCCCACACTAAGGTGGTAGACCAAAAGCTGAAGGGCTGTGATCTCTTTGTAGGGTGTGGCAGGGGAACCCCAGAGCTTACTCCCTGTTTTATCCTTTCTCTCTTTTTTTTATTATTGATTTTAGACAGAGTAAGAGAGAGAAAGAGAAGCATCGATGTGAGAGAGAGACATTGATCGGTTGCCTTCTGCATACGCCCCTACCGGGATGGAGCCTGCAACCTGGGTATGTGCCTTGATTGGTAATCGAACCCACCACCTTTTGGTGTACTGGCCAATGCTCCTACCAACTGAGCCACACCAGACAGAGAAATATAAGTGTTTTAATAAAAACAATTCGACAGCATTTATTGTCATCTGGTAATAACGTAAGGGTAATGAAAGCAATATGAATAAATGTTTAAGAAATATACTCCCAACAAAGGATACCTAAAAAACACAAACTGTATTGCTTCCCAACAATCTCTCACTTTATTAGTCATTTCTAGTTGGAGATATTTTGTAGCAGAGTAATATTATCTCCTTTTAACACGATTTGACTTAGTCGTTTTCTTGACTTTGTTTTAGAATTAATCTCTTCTGCATCATCTAATACGAGGTTCATATACTCATCAAAACCAATGATACAGCCCTCTATCTGCATATTCACTTGCTCATAAAGCCACGCCTGAATCCTAGATCTATTTTGCAAGTATCTGAAGATGAGGTTGATGGGCTGCACCTTCACTTTCTTCACTTTTTGGCCACGGCCACGGTACACCACGGTGGAAGCTATTAAAGATCACACTAAGCTGTGCACTACCTCAGAAAGCTACTTCTGGAATCTATCCTTTATATCTTTAGTTCCTCTGGGCATTGTCTCTTGTCTTCAAGATTAAGCTAGTTTTGTTATATGTGGTTTTCTTCTGTTCAAGAGCTAAGATTCTCTGAGGAAGGTAAAATTAGCCTGGCTTTCTGACTGGAAAAATCTCCAGGTGCTGATCCTCTGTTCTTCAGCCAGTGGCAGCTGCTAGATTTTAGCCTTGTCGAACATTACATCTCCACTAGGCGCTGCTGAAATCTCCCTAGCTTGACTGGCTTATACTTGTTCAGTTTATATCCCCACCCCAGCCCCCATTTGTGCCTGTCACAGGAGCTCTCCATTCAGAGTGGCATGGCTGTACCTTCACATTTTGCTTCAAACTCTTCTGGCCTTCAGGTGCCACAGTCATCTCCAGAGTAGAACCTCATGCACCAAACCCAACCCCAAAGCCTGGGGACTTGGACTTAAAAGTCATGTTACTTAGGGTACAGAATATAGTACACAGAACTTGGGCCCCTGAAATCAGAGCTAAATTATAGATCTCCTAGTTCTTAGGCTCTAGGAGAAAAGATCCAAATTCATAAAGCAGATCCTCAAACCTATATCTCTGATTTCCTGAAGCCTTGGTTAGCAGCCTCATCAGTTGAAGAAAAGAAGAATTAATTCTACCAAAAGGAGGAGAGGAACAAAGACCTGGAAAATTCAGCCCTGGCCGGTTTGGCTCAGCGGTTAGAGCATCGGCCTGTGGTACAGAGAGACCCGGGTTCGGTTCCTGCTAAGGGCACGTACCTCGGTTGCAGTTTGTCCCCGGCCCTGGTTGGTCGTGCAGGTGGCAACCACTCGATGTGTCCCTTCACATCGATGTTTCTCTCTCTCTCTCTTCCTCTCTCTCCCTCCCGCTCTGTCTGAACAAAAAAAAATGCAAAAATGTCCTTGGGTGAGGATAAAAAAAAAAAAAAACCTGGAAAATTCAGGTATAGTGCAGGAGAGCAAATTCAAGATCTCTTCCAATACCCTGCACAGTTTCTCAGGGGTCTTCTGGCCTTTGTTCTTCTTTTAATTGAGCTTGGAAGCTATAGTGCTTGAGAACCAGAATCTGGGATCTACCTGTTGGCAATAGGAGAACTTTGGACCTATTATGTTTCTTACTAACAATTATCTAGATTTAATATGGCCCTCAGGACAATATGAGGGCCCTCAGGACAATATGAGGGCCCTACCTTGTGGCCAAATCTTGCTTGACTGACCCAGAAATTACAGAGTAGGTGTGCTGCCTGCAATTGCTTGTTTATTAGTCACAACAGTGTGCTAGCCTGCTGCCCCATCATCACCAACTCCTTGCCATGATGTCTGGCTTTGAAATAGCAGCTGGAAAACTAGACTCAATTTTAGAAAGGAGGCAAGGCAGTGCTGTCTCCTTGCTTTGATGGGAGAATATCTCTGAACCTATCATTGCCTCTTCCTCGTAAGCTTTAGTCACATCCTGACTACATCAAGTATACAAATTTGGCCCTCTACTAAACTGCACACTGAACTCACTGAAGTAAATATAATGGAAAAGAGAGTGTGGCTCAGTCTTATCCAGAATGTCAGAGTGTGCCCACTGGATTTGCCAAGACCATTATTTCCTAGGGACCCACACAACTGTCTGACCATTGGTACAAGTGGTGTTTACGTAGATCTGAAACCTCTCCTGACATTCAAACTAAGGTCTCTGGAAACCATAGTCTTATGGGGATACCCTATAAGACAAGTTCTGGTCTGGGAGTTCTGAGCAGTCATCCTCAGCTACCTTGATCCTACCTTCTCTGTACCAACATCCTGTCATCATGTCTTAAAACTCCATATCTTTTACTCAGGATCTGTTCCCTACTGTTTCTGGGACTTCTACATGACTTTTACTATCTTCAACCTTTTTCAACTGAATCACATATATCCACAAAGTTGCCAAGCATGTAAAATAATAAGTGGTTCAGGACTGAAGCTTTTCCACTGACCAGCTGAACAAAGTACAGCTAGACTCACCAGCAGTGGGAAGAAAATATAAAATTATCTAACTTTAGGCTTCTGTGGTAGATACAGCATCTCCAAAGTCCTGAGATTTATGCAAATAATTTAAAAATCTGTATATTTGAACAAGAGTAAAGGATCATTAGCTAATAATAGTGTTTTCACATATTGATTCCATTTAAAAAAAATTTTTTCTTTATTGATTTTTATAGAGAGAGGAAGGGAGAGAGAGATAGAAACATCGATGAATGAGAACATCGACTAGCCACCTCCCGCATGCTTCCCACTGGGGATGGGGCCCACAACCCGGGCATGTGCCCTGACCGGGAATCGAACCAGCAACCTCTTGGTGTGTGGGTCGATGCTCAACCACTGAGCCACACCAGCCGGGTTTGATTCCATTTTTTACATGCTCTGTTTTACACCTGGTTTCCTGCCAACCTCCCATGCCAGCTGTCTAACACCAGCCCTATCTGTGGCTATTTTAGAGTCTGGTCCAGAGGGCCTGGCTGAACCTTTAGGATCCTTTTTAGCTTCATAACTTGATAACCCTATACCATTTTTTACTTTCTTCTCTGAGTGACTTTCAATCTTTATATCTCTATCCCAATCTCATACATACATTAGACTAAGAAGTAGGACCCGTCTAGTGTTTGTCCAAGAACGATCAGGGATACTGGACCTCTAGTCAAGGCTCCCACAGAACTCCCAAGCCAGCTTGCCCCATCCAGAATGATGTGACTTCTGTCTGCAAGCACTGACTGAATTATGCTCAGTGAGAAAGGGGAGGGCCTTGCTGAATGATGAGGTCTCACTAGCCCCTTCTTTTAGACTCACTATGTGATGCCAACACTCTTCTTTCCTGCAAGAGATGCCCAGTGGCTCTGACCATCTCTGCTTCTTTCTTAGCTTACCTTGGAGCTGAGTGGCTCCACTTCCCAGTGATGCTTGTGCCAGTCAGTGCCCCCCTCATTGTCTCTCCCTCTTCTTTTTCTTTATCTTTGTGCTTCCTGCCGTGGTACCCCCACCCCCTCCAGAGCTGCTGGATGACCAGCACCCTGTGGTCCGGTTGCTGCGCAGTTTTTCCTCTGACTGCCCAGGGGGCCGGCCAGTCTCCTTGGATGCCACGCTGGCGCATCACCTGCACCAGTGCTCCTACCACCTGCGCCTCTTCCGGAACTGGCTGCGCTCAGGCCAGGATGACCCCGAGTGCCTCTACGGTACCCCCTGCCACCAAGCTGGCTGCTGCCACTACCCTGGCTGGGACTGACTGCTTCGCTTATTGCACTTCTGGCAGGAGAGCCCACGTATTCCTTTCTTTTATTTACCCTAAGTTATGTGACTTGCATTTACTTGCTTGGATGGGATTGGGGCCAGGCTGCCTGGTAGCTATAGCATTGGCTGCTCACTCTTTCCTTACTGCTTCCTAATGCTACCCATTTCCAATACTATTCAGTACAGGGGTAATCTCTTGCCCTGGAATCTGTTCTTATCTCTATAACCTTCTACTACCACCATCTTCAAATCCAAACATTTTTCTACCTACTCTAAGGAGCTAGAGACTGCACCTCTCCTGCTCTCCTGCCACTAGAGTACAGGGGGAAATTGAGGCACAGAGGTCTCCATTGAATCTTTGAAGCAAACAAGAGCCAGAGGTTAGAAGATGATCAGGTATATTTATTTTGAGGATTTAGTCATTGATGAATAGGAGGCTAAATTTTGCATAGATATTACTGTCCTGCCTACCTTAAGTGCATTTAAGGAGATGAAGAGGAGGCATGGGAAAGATTTGGGACTGAAAAAGTGGTTGGGATGTGTGCTTCTTGATTCTCCAATTGGGACATTTTCCCCCCAATAGACCCTGGGATTAGGGTTACACATTTAGATTTACCCTTTACCCTATCCAGAGTGGTGGACCTACATTGGAATTACTGGGCTCAGAGCAGAGAATCAGTATTTATTATATTTCTTCTAAGGAGGTTGCCTCATTTTCCTGATGGAATAAAGAAATCCTAGCAAGTCTGGGGTCTTCTCGTGAGAACAGAAAGGAGAATCTTTGCTGTGATAGGAATGACCAAGAAAGAACCTCCATCCCCCAGCCTGTTCATGCATGTGATTTTCCTGGGCTGAGCTCCATATGTATTGCATGCCCTCCAGCTTGCTTCCAAATATTTTGACCTTTCTACCCATATCCTGAATCTGCATGACCCCTTCTCAGATTACATGCCCTCCTCCTTAATTTGGTTCTCTTATACATGAGCCCTGAAATCTGCTGTTTCTTCCCAGCTCCATGACCTCCCTAACCTCATTTAGACCTACAATTTCACCCTTCCTACAGATCTTTGTTTTATTCCCCCAGAAAGTATAAGAGTAATGTAGGTGCTTACCCTATTGGGATTCTGTTGACTTTTCCATGGGACATTGCAGGCTCTCCAGAGGTAGGATGAGAGGTGATTTGATTCACCTGGAGGCCTTAGCAGGTAGACTTTTTAGGAAATTTGGAGGTGACAGAAACAGACTTCTGTTGGGCCTTTAAAGAGCTCCCTTTCATGAGAATCTTGGATACCCCACACTCCAATAGCCACGGACTCTCCTGATGGCTCTCAGGGACTCTCCATGCTTCCTTGGCCAGTTGGGATATATCTGGCAGGAATAATATTGACTTTGCCCATCTCTTTTCTAACAGGATTTGAAGGATGCTCCATGGTGCCTACCATCTACCCCCTAGAAACACTGCATAATGCCCTTTCCCTGCGTCAAGTAAGTGAATTCTTGAGTAGAGTCTGCCAGCGCCACACTGATGCCCAAGCACAGGCATCTGCAGGTATGGAAAATACTCTTATTTTGTACCCCTATCTCTGCCCTTACTTTCATGCTTTCTAGAACATGAATAATAGAGTAAAAAGATAGGCACTCAACAATATACAAAAGTTGACTTGAAAAAAATGTTTAATTACATAGGCCAACTCAAAATCATAGAAATAGCACTCCTTCCCAAGTTAACTTATAAGTTTAGTATGATCCCAATAAAAATACTGCTGGTTTTATAAAGTAAGACAAATTGATTCTGAAGTTCTCATTGAAAAATAAATAAACAAGTCTGGCCGATGTGGCTCAGTGGTTGAGCGTTAACCCACGCACCAAGAGGTCACCGGTTCGATTCCCGGTCAGGGCACATGCCCAGGTTGTGGGCCCTATCTCCAGTGGGGGGCATGCAGGAGGCGGCCAATCTATGTTCTCTCTCGATGTTTCTATCTCTCTCTCCCTCTCACTTTCTCTCTCTCTAAAATCAATAAAGGAAAAATAAACAATCAAGAATAGCCAAGAAAACCTTAAAAAGAAGAGCAATGAAGGGATATTAGTCCTACCAGATTTTAAAACATTCTATACAACTTCTATAATAAAAACAGTATAATATTGGTATATGAATAGACAGAGATCAATCAACAAAATAGAAAATTTAGAAATAGATAAAGTTAGCATTTCAAAATACTAATATTTTGATATTAGGGGGGAAGATAGACTTTTTAATAAATAGAGTTGGGACAACTGGTTAGTCATTTGACAAAAATTAAAATTGAATCCATACTTCATGCTATATACTAACAGACTCCATGCAAATCAGAGATCTAAATGTAAAAATAACACCATGCAGTAGGTAGCTCCAAGGGCTTGTCCTTTTACAGAAACACCAAAAAATCAAGCAAAAACTGACAGAATCAACTTTATCGGAACTCTGGAAAATAGTCAAAGGTTTGCAACAACCAGGAAAATTCTGAATCAAGAAGGAGGCAACCTATGTGCAGTTAAGAGTGTCAGCCCATGGATCGAAGGTCTCAGGTTTAATTCCTGGTCAAGGGCATGTACCTGGGCTGCAGGTTTTATCCCTGGCCCTGGTTGGGGTCATGTGGGAGACAAACAATTGATGTGTCTCTCTCATATACATGTCTTTTTCTTTCTTTCTTTCCCTCCCTTCCTTCCACTCTATCTTTAAAAAAAAAAAAAAAAAAATCAATGGAAAAAAAAATCCTTGGGTGAGGATTAACCAAAAAAAAAAAGACAACGACGACGACGGAGGTAACCTAAAAATGGCAGGAAGCTTTCCAGTATTTTCACTTGACCTTCTCGCACCCGTCTCCCCACCTTGGCAGTAGTCTTCAACATGACAACTTATATTCTCAGTGTGGGACCCTGGTCCGTGGTTCTAGAGAGAGCAGAATAGACCTATTTTCAAAGAATTATGTTTGTTGTAACTTGTGTGTAGGCTACCTGAAGGACCGACACAGGGTGCTTTCCTTTGTTTTACCTAACTTGGAACCCACTCAGTGTATAAATGTGGGTATGTAGAGGGTATTTCTTAAAAATATTATAAAGCAAATGAATATCATGCAGTCTAGGGCAAAAAATCATAGTTGAGGCAAACAATAGGGATACTGAAATCTAGGGAAGAAAACCAGTGGAGAGAGTTTCTTTAGGAAATTAGGCATTCAAAATCACCCACATATACTGGGAAATTTAAAAATCAATGCACAGCCCTGCTGGTGTGGCTCAGTGGATTAAGTGTCGTCCCATGGACTAAAAGGTCCTGGTTCAGTTCCCAGTCAGGGTACATGTTGGGTTGTGGGCTCGATCCCCAGTAGGGGATGTGCAGGAGGCAGCCCATTGATGTTTCTCACATCGATGTTTCTATCTCTCTCTACCTTCCTCTCTCTCTAAAAAATCAATAAAAACATATTTTATTTTATTTTATTATTATTTTTTTTTATCCTCACCGGAGGATATTTTTCCATTTTTTGCACAGAGTCGGAGGGAGAGAGA